CGAATGGAAGTGGAAACAGACGAAACTTGCTTGTGATTTAGAAAACTTTAAAAATCATTACGGTACGTAATAACCTGAATCGTAAAATGGACGTGTCTAAAAACACATTCTAAATTGTCATGATCAGAGGAAACTCTTCAACATTATTAGCAAGTTATTAAAAAGGTCATGTGACAATCAACTCCCGGAATGTAATAACGGATTTCAGCTTGCTAATGATTTAGGGCACTATTTCTTAGACAAGGTGCATAGCATTCACACAAAGATTGATGGTATCCATAAGGATTTTGAACAAAAGGATTTGTTTTCTTTGTCGCAACACACCATTAACGTTCCCATAGACCCTGTTCCTGTGAAGTTGAACAGTTTCACTCCTTTGTCTGTAGATGAACTGCACAAATTGATCATTTGCAGTGGTCGAAAGTCTTGTAGCCTGGATCCTATACCTATCTCACTCGTTGTGGAGAATATTGACATTCTGCTCCCAGTCGTCCAACAAATCATTAATAAATCATTTGAATTGGGTTATTTTCCTGAAAACTTAAAAAGTTCCATTGTTAAACCTTTACTTCCCTGGACAATGAAGTGTTCGCTAATTATCGTCCTATTAGTAACTTGCCGTATCTTTTGAAAATAATTGAGCGTGCCATATTTAATCAACTTGAAAATCATCTTAGTAAAAACCAACTTTTTCCAACTTTATAATCCGCTTATCAAAGATTCTTGTCTGAATAAAAAAATAAATGAAATAAAACAAACTCATGGCTCAGCAGACAAGACTGTTTCTGACCAAAATAACCCATGTACTACACTGTAACTAAGAATTTTAGGATTTATACTCTTTTAGTGTCTATTGTGCCGTGTTGACACTGCAATGTATCTAGTGATAAATACTACAAAATAATTTACACAGAAGCATGTGTTAAATAATCAAATACAAAATATAGGAGTAACAAAAAAACTTTGATATTTACAATTCAAAGCATGTATAAGCAATGTACAATAGAACACCTCCTTTGGGACACCCCTATTCAGGAGATACTTTTATTAAAGGGACACTTTTCAGTAGAAACGAGGGGAAATATATCTTTTAACATTGCAGCCAATCCCCTATTAAGGGACACCACTATTAATGGGATGGGGACACCTTCTGAGTGTGCCAAATAGTTATACTGTATAACCCCTATTAAGGGACAGTTATTTATTTTCTATTGTATCACAACAAATATAAGTCTCAAATTAAGAAAAATTCAATAAACTTTTTATTGACACATTTAGAGCAACTGATTAAGGAACTTATCAACTTTCTAACTATTATATTACCTTTCTACTACTATGGAGACACCTGAATGTGCCAAATAACTCCTATTAAGGGACACTATCCTCTATTGTATCACAACAACAATCTCAAAATAAGAAAAGTTCACTAAACTCTATAATATTGACACATTTAGAGCAACTTAAGAAACTTTTATTACCTTTCTAATATCATCATCTTTCTACTACCGTTTTGTCAAGTGTGAGCTTTGGTTAGATTACATAATAGTAATACTAATAATAATTATAATAGAGTAGTAATAATAATAAAAATAATAATAATAATAATAATTATTATTATTATTGAGAATTGTAAATAAGGCTGGAAGAGTGATTGGAGCCGACATTAAGTCCTTGGAAGATGTTTTTAATGATTTTTTACTTAAGAAATTTAATTCAATTATGCAAGATTCATCCCATCCATTATTTTCAGACATTATCATAAATAGATCGGAAGGGTTAGACATAAACAAAACAAAATATCCACAAACAGTTTTAAAAATTCAGCATTGTACATCGCTTGTAATCTATTTAATCAAAATTTCAGAAGATAACTGCACAGGACTCAAATTTTAATTTTCTAAGAAATCTTTATTTAACTCTCTATATGTTTATGAACGATTCTATGTCATGTACAACAAATATCTCAGAATGTATTATTTTGACAATAAAGTTGACTTGTATCTTGTATCTTGTAATAATAATAATAATAATAATAATTTTTTGAACCAAGTAAAATAATCCGTCTTTGTTTGGTAGTAGTTTGGTGTGTTTAATTATTTTCATGGCGTGTTGTTTTGCTTGTACTGTATTTGTTTAAGTCGTGTTCTATTCCCTCCTCTTATGGATTTATTGAATTTTGTATTTTGAGAATTTGTCCAATTTATTCTTGGTTTTTATTTTAATGTTTGTATAAAACTTATCCTTTTTAATGAAATTGATCTATTGTTTTAAAGTTATTGTAGGCTGACTACTTTACTTCTCTGTTCCAGAGGTTTTCTGAAGAAATTGAAATTAATTTAAATTGAAAATTGAATTTTTAAATTTGAGTATTAAACCAAAATTTTCTCCCCCAAATCCTTACAGTGAATATCGGTAAGCATACTGTACTGCATGTGCTACTTTGTATAAACCAATCTTGTCAATTTTGACCATTTACCATTGGGATTTCTTTTTTTGCACTTTTTATAGGATTCTAATTCATTCACCATGAAACAATACTGGGAACATATAAAACTACTGTTGTTTTAATTACATTTCTGCTGATTTCACATTATAAATGAATTGTATTTGCCTTGAAAATTATTGCCATAAGTTAGTTATAATTCTACTGTAACTAATTATGCCAAAATTATGAAGAATTGTATGCCATCGTCATATGAAAACATGCCATTTTAAATGTTAAAACAGTAATTTCTAACAATCCAGTGATGATTTCTGGCTAAGATGCCCCAAAATGTAAACTTTAAAGGACGATTTCTCAAATATTGTTCTTTAAATAGCTGTATAGCTCCTGTAATTTTCGTAACTAAATGTCAGATTTAAATAATTCTTTTACCATCATAGCTCACATTTTACTGTTTTACCCTGTGTTAAATTTAACTAAAAATCAATTTTTGCGATGTGTGACTGGTTTGGCTTGTCTTTGCCACATATACTGTAGTTTTATGGACTGATTGAAGCATCATGTTTATCACACATTACATTTAGTCAAACTCTAAAGTATTTGGAAGAAGCGAAACATAGAGTTTTTCACCACACTTCATTAAATTTTTTATTTATTTTTTATTTATTCAGGTATAAACATATAAAAAACAATTACAAAACGGCAGCCGAAGCTGAAATGGTTTGCATCACAAAACCTATTCACAAAAAATTATTTACAAATGCAAAACAGCAAAATACAAAAGCTAAAAAACATTATAAATACAATTCATTACAAAAAAGGTCAAATATCATTATCATTAAATTTTAGTTGCTAAAGTTTAAATTATATTTATACAGTAAAATATTGCACATTTCCTGTTATCAGTATTCTTATACATTATCAATTTCATCAATTTATTTAACAGATCGAAATATTGCAATTTTCATTAAATTATTATTATTTACAAATTTATTTTAGAATTTAGAAATTAAAATTACAAAATATAAAAGTACATTACACACACAAAAAAGAAATTTATCATTTTTAAAGGCATTCTAATTGGGGAAGAGACCAAATTATTTCTGTCCACTCTGAAAGCTGGTATTTAAGAGGTGAGTTACAGTAGGCATTGTTGACTTTTTTAGTCTCTCTGTGCGACATCTTGGTTAAAAAAGAAATGAAGTACTGCTTTTCCTTAAGGTTCTAGTGCAAGTAACCAGGGGCGGATTTAGGGGGGGGGGCCGGCCCGGCCCCGGCCCCCCCCTTTTGGGAGGTAAAAAAAGAAAAAAAAAGAAAAAAAGAGAGAAAAAGAAAAAAAATGATAGCCCAGAATGCCTCAAATGTTATGTTCAGGCGTCTAGAACACAAAAATTTCGCGGGGGCATGCCCCAGACCCCCTACGACAGTGTTGTCTCAATCGGCCCAACTTTCGGCCCCCGCTTCCGGCCCCCCCTTTTGGACATTTCTGGATCCGCCCCTGGTAACATTGGGGGGTAGTAGATGCCTATGCCTATCAGATTTCAAAAGTTGTTCACCAAATTTCAACAATAGTATGTTTCTTCTTGATTCGAGAGTGTTAAGATCAAGAGTAAGTAGAGATCTACTATATGAGTGGTAGCATTGCCCTAAAATAATTCGGCAGGCCCTTTTTTGGACACGTTCAATTTTCAGACATTGGTATTTGGTGATTGAGCTGTGCCAAACCTGGGAACAATATTCTAGCAACAATATGATATAGCAAAAATATACTTTAACAATGTCCTTGATTGGAGCATTGGCTCTTTTTAGAATACATAAAAAAAATAACCTTTTTGAAGCTCTTGAAACCATCTCTGAGACATGGGACTCCCAAGAAAGGTTGTCCTGAATGGTAACCCCAAGAAGCTTTATATGGGAGACTTTCTCTATGGGTTGATTAGAGAGTGTGAGTTGAGGTATTGTTTGCAGTTGACGAAGAAAATTTATTTGTAGGAAATGGCATTTTGAAGGTTTGGGCGTCATGTGGTTTGAGTTACACCACAATGTAATGTCGTCCAAATACCTTTGCATACAAGACTGGTTATTACGGGGAATGATTTCACATATGGTTAAGTCATCGACATATTTCTAGCGTTTGTATTCCCCAATAGCTACATCATTAATTAAAATTAAAAATAAAATAGGTCCAAGTTTGGTCCCTTGTGGGACACCGCAAGCGATGCTGGTTTTAAGGGATAATTGCCCATGATATCTGGTATCGTGTGTACGATTGGTGAGAAAACTTAATATAATTGAGATGATAGCGCGTCTAACTCCAATGTCAATGAGTTTTTTTGCAATAATATTATGATCCATTAAATCAAAAGCTTTAGTGTAATCAATTGTACACAGGTTGGCAAAATGGCCAGATTTGTCAAACCCTTGAACAATGGCATGCAACATATCAATCAAGTAATCAGTTGTAGATTTTTTTTTTATGTTCCCAATTGTTGAAAATCAAGCTTTATATGGATATCTTCCATTACCCATTCCACAAGAAAGGTTTCAAGCACCCTAGCAAAAATCGGTAAGGGCTATACAGTAGGTCGAAAGTCATCTATTGTGGACACCTTTGGAACCTTAGGTATTGGTACCAACGTAGCAGTTTTCCAGGACTCGGGGAAAACACCCTGTCTTATAGCTAAATTAAAAAGCATACATAAGGGAACAGTTAACTCGGGAGCAAACTCTTTAATTAGCCTTAAAGGTATATCAGATGGGTGTGTGGATTTACTCGTGTCAAGCTTATTTAGTTGTTTTAGAACCTGACCTTTATAAATAGTTGGGAGGAGACTCAGCAGGTCAGTATGCTGGTAATGAACTATAGTCAAGTGCTGGAAATTTCTGGCATATCTTAGCAAAGTGTTTGTTAAAAAGTTCAGCAGTCAAATGAGCAGTTCTGGTCAGGTTGGCAGGCAGGTTTTCTATTTCATTTCATTTATTTGTCTCAAAAAAATACAATTCACATAAAATATCATACACAAAAAAGACGAAGAGACAGGAAATCCACAAGGAGAACTAAATCAAGTGTCAAGTGGATTTCCTAACAAAAAAAAAACAGACAGACAGACACAAAATATATAAATTTATATGAATATAAATATCAAAATCAGCCCTTAAAATAATCTTTCAATGCTTTATAAAAATATACAAAATTTAAAATAAGTTTATCAAGCACATTAGTAGGCAAATCATTCCAAAGATGTGGAAAATAATTACAAATAGAGTTTTTGAAACAATAAGTCCTGGCAAAATTATAAATAAATTTGAAATCACTTAAATTATAACGTCTAAGATTAATTTTAATAAGGTTGAAGATTGGAAACTTATATTTACCATAAATGCACTTCGTGACAAATGAAATAGAGAGAAGCTTAAAACGATCCTCAACAGAACATAAACCAAGGATACCAAGTCTTTGCGTATATGATAAATTCAAGGAGGGATGAAAACAAGAACGAGTAATCCTTCGTTGGATTTTCTCGAGTGAGGAGATATGACCCTTTTGGTGAGGAAGCCATGATGGGATATCATACTCAATAATTGGTCGGACAATAGTTTTAAATAATTTTATAATGGCATTATGATTTCTACATCGGACAATCCTTCTGATAAATCCAGTAAGTTTGTTTGATAGATGATACATGTTTATCCCAACTAAGATCAGATGAGATAATAATACCAATGTATTTAAAAGAGTCCACCATTTTGATACCCTCAGAACCTAAAAAATACTCAATTTCATTATTGGAATGTTTGCTAGATCTAGTAATCCGCATGGTGCTACACTTGCTTGGATTTAAGTGCAACTTTTTTTCAACACTCCATGGGTATACATTGTTGAGATCGTTTTGCAGAGAAGCTCCATCCGCAGGAGATTTTATGACTCTATAAATCAGGGTGTCGTCAGCATATTGCAAAATAGTAGATGAAGCAAGAACAAAAATATTAAAAGAGAATTGGGCCTAAAACAATACCTTGCGGAACCCCAGAAGAAACGGAGCAAGTGTTAGAAGAAACCCCCCTGAAATTGACTTTTTGGTAACGATTGGAAAGAAAAGACGACATTCATTTCAAGACAGAGCCACAGACCCCGTACTGATGAAGCTTCTCTGTCAGAATTTGATGGCTTATAAGGTCAAATACCTTGCTAAAATCGAGGCATATGGCATCAATTGGAGGAGGGCATCTGACATCAAGAACCCCAGACCAGTGATTGTACGCTGTTGCAGGAGTAGTCTGGCACGATTTTCCGGTTGCAAAGCCATGCTGATGAGGTGATAACAGGTCATGATCATTTAGGTGATGGACAAGATGATTGCAAACAACAGATTCAAGCATTTTCCCCACCACTGAACATAGTGAAATAGGCTGATAGTTAGTTATATTGCATATATTCCCAGCCTTATGGATTGGCACGACATTTGCCAACTTCCAATCATTAGGGAATACCCCAGAATTTAATGAAATATTTAAAATATTGGCAAGTGCCTCACATATATAAATAGCAGCAATTTTTAACATGGTTGATGAAATACCATCAGGTCCCGGGGCTTTGCCAGTTTTGAGTTTATTAATGAGCCGAAGAACTTCGGTAGAAGATGTCTGGATATTTGAAAGTATGTTTAAACCAATATGATTAATCTGATCTTAGTTATATATCTGAGATTGTGAAACAAAATTTTCATCATTAAAGGTAGACTTAAAATATTCATTGAAAGTTTGAGAAATAATATAAGGATCATCAACAATATGACCGTTAATCTTAAAACAATGAGCAACAGGTTTTGCCTTAGCGCTACGTACAAAGGACCAAAAATCCTTGCCATTATTTTCACATTTGGCAGCAAGCTTAGTTATAAATTCATAGTACGATTTTCTTGTGGATTTAACCAGGTTTCTACACTTATTGTAAGTTTCCCATTTACGACTGTCATTAGATACATTCGCAATCTTATATAAACGCCTTTTCTTTCGTGCAAGCTTAATAATATCATTAGAAATCCATGGGAGCTTAGCCTTTTTTTTGGCTTTACGCCTGGGAACACATTGGTTAAATAGCTTTTAAGAACTTGCCCTTAAAATTCTCCCAAATTATATCAATATTATCAGACAAGAAAGAGGAAACCCAATTTACATTAGAAAAAATATCAATAAAATTATCAGTATCAATTTTGGAGTATTGCAAAAAATAGCCAGGAGGAAGAGGAGTATGGACATAAGTGAGATTAAAATTAATAAAAATCCCATCGTGATCACTACTAGGAATGCCAAAATGAGGAGACACAACTGAAATGATGTTGGGCCTGTTAATATAAACATGATTAATAATAGTTCTACTAATTTACATAGGCTCTTTATGTGTTTGTGCCACATAGCAGTTTGTCTCTGCTGCAGGTTTTTTATTTTGAATTTCTGTAGTAGGAACTTTTAGCATTTATAATCTCGTGTTTCACCTCATTACGCAAAATTCTCCATTCCTGATGGCGATTTTGTCTAAAAGCCCGCTGCCTGTCATTAACTAGATGTCTCAGTTTTGGTGTAAACCATGGTTGATCCTAGCTACGCTTGTAAGAAGTTTTACATGGAAAAAATTCGAACAAATTGCTCCTTGAGCAAATTCTGTAGACTAGATGACATAGTATTCACTGTTGTATTTATAACAATATGACTCTATTCTTCTTGATTTATTGCCCGAAACATCTCACAGACGAATCTAGAAAGCGGCGATAGGTAGTAATTGTTTGCTTTGTTTCAGGTAAGGTTATCTGCGGTTCAACTAATATGGAACAATGATCACTGCCGCCCAATCGTGCAAGCGGCTGAGCATCTTTATACAGGAAAGATTGGTTTGTAAAAATCAAGTCAAGAGTTTCATTTTTGCGGGTTGGAAAGCTGACAATTTGATCAAGTCCAAGTTCTGTGTCAAAAGTGTGTGTATTAAGATGATGTCGCCCATTAAAGCAATAGTGGCATTAGTATTAAAACATCTTATTTGATCAACTGTATGAAGCATATGAACAATTAGATCATTGGCATATGACTCCCGTGGAGGATAGTAAACAATACCAACATACATGTCAGCATAGCCTCTATTTTTGCCAGTTGGTAAAGTTAGCTTGGTCCACAGGCACACATACTCACATGAATCTGGACATCTGTATAGCATCCAAGACAAAAAGTGCAATGCCGCCACCCTTCCTAGTCTGTCTGTTCTTCAAAATACAATTGAAACCTGGGATCTGATACAAGTTGCTGTTATTAACATTACCCAACGTTTCAGTTATTGCACCAACTTGAACCTTGTTGTTTTTCAATATAAGCTGGAGCTCATCGATCTTATTGTTCAAGGATCGGGCATTAGAAAGAAACAAATTTGGCATGCAATTATTGCTAGCACATCCATTATAAGTTTTGACATGTGTAAGTGTTTGGGTTCTAAAATGTTTAGTAAAGTTATATTTCTTGATACAAGCTCTAGGCCTAAACAAATACTTGGCATAGACTCCATGTCCGCACAGAGTCTTGATACGGCGTATGATGTGCCTTCCACCTCTTCTTCCTCTCTGCTTTCGCCAAATAACAAAATCTTTCAGGCACTCAACTGTTCTTTTATCAACATACTGACAATCACCACAAGCATGTTTAATTCTAAAATAGTTCATGTGGGCTATAGTGATGAATAAAAGTACTGTTCGAGTCCAAGTTCTTTGTGCTGTAGCACATCCCGGTTCAGCAATGAGGTTAAGGACAGTCGTTTCAAGTTCAAGTCTGACCTTGCACAATTGTATGGTAAGATATTATACCACCAGGCGCTCTGTAATCCGTACAGTCTCTCCTCAATACTAAGTTTAGGCCTAAGCCAAGGCTATCCATCTCAGCCTAACCAGCGTTCAGAGTTAAAACGTTTCAAAATTCAGTCTTCCTCATAAAATGGCTCAACTTTGATAATTCCAAGCATATTACTCACAGAGGATAACTTAAAATAAATTAAAAACAACGAAAAACAGCGAAAAATTACAACCAACTCTGAGGACAAAATTCTCAGGCGTGGCAACAGCTATGCAGCGCCCTCAAATAAAACAAACTTTCCTACTATATGTGATAATGGACAAGCTACTATTTCATTACCAATTGTAACTTCTTGCAAACTATCTAGCTTTAGACTATAATTTCCGGTTTTCCTTGAAAAAATAATGTCTTTAGCATTTAGTGTCCTAATTATAGCATAATAATGTTTTCTACATTCGCACAAGCAACCACACTTGTTAGGACATAAAGATATAAGTAGTTGTAGGATGCCTTTGTGATGACCATTATATTGAATGCATGAATTGTTTCTTGTGCTGAATTAATTTTGACACCAATACTAGTCCATCTGCTGTCACCATCTTTCTATAGGCATTAACAACATTATTCATTATATCGATTCCAATAGCATCTAATGCATTAACGTGCACAGGAAGCAATGTGTAAATTACTGGCAGACCAACATGCGACACATTCTTGATGGCTTTGGAGCAAAGCTTGTCATATCCATATACATTTTTAGAAAAGAATGTGCTTTCATTTGAAAAAGTGCTAAATGCACCAATAGACAATGATGGCAAACTGCTTATTAATATGAACTTTCTAGCAATTTGGCTATGAACACATTGTGTACCATGAAACATTTTTTTCAATTTACCATTCAAGCCTTCAAACGCGAATGCAGAGTATGACCATATCAGACCCCAATTTCTGACACTGTTAGTCATATGTAAGAGTTGATGTACATTAAATATCATGTATTCTTTTATATACAAGGATTCTAAATTAACAACAAAATCAATCAACAGAAATTCACACAGATCAACTGTTTGCATATCAACTTGCGTGGCCAACAGCAAGTGCATGGCTGCCACTAGGAGCATCCAATGATTATAAAACTGGCGTGGCAATATGTCCCGAACGACAATAGGCGAATAGTGTAGTAGCCATGATCGCCATTCACTTGCTTTCTAATTCTTCCACAACTGTAAGGATGATGTGAATCTGGTTACTTCAGAAGGCGGCCTAATGCTTGATAAACGTTTATCAAGTATTCTGATTGATTTCCCAATGTAGTACTCCTGAGTGTGATGACTACTGTCTATCCACAACACTGTGAGAGTGCGGACAACACCGAGGCATACAGTATGCATGTAATCAAACACAAAGTTTTGAATTATATTAAAGTACATCATTGTCAACAGAACTGAAGGACCTTTTACACCCATATAAGGCTTACTATTTATTAGCCTCTCTGGCATGTTCAATATGAGTACTTGCGGTCCGTGACTCATGGAGCTCGGCAGTTGTATAAACACGTGCACACTTCCTACATTACACCTTTTCCCTGGTTCTAAACACCATGTACACCCATACAAACCATTGTATTGGTGTATGTTCTGAACAATGCACCTTACAGGTGAATCGCATGAAAACATAGTTGTAATCACCTTTGTTTTATGATTGCCATTTACATCTGCCCATTCAAGGCCATCCACTGATAGTTTGTTCATTGCTGATACCATGGGCTTCAAAAAAGTTTTCATGTCTGGCTTCAAGCGTCCAAACCAGAGCCCGGCAAGGAAGATATTTTTTCTTTTTAGGTGATAAGGTAGTTCATTGACCATCATCTGCAAAGGCCAAATTCTGTATTTTGATGAGTTAAACACCTTTAACACCATCAGTATTTCATGACACTGTTATATCATCATTTCCAAGGGGTAATTACCGATATAGTTTGCCTGAAGGAATCACATGACTTGCGTTTGGTACCAATCCAAAGGTGTTTCGCTGTGTCTGCATCATTCAAAATATTGAGAAGTTGCTCTTTGATGTCAAATATAATGAAATAGTTGCCACTTTTTAAGCACTCCTCCAACAACACTTCCTTTCCACAATTACTACAATCCATGTTCTTTTGCCCAATGTAACATATACATTGAGGGCAAAATGCGTGATATTGAATTGTCTCACCTGTACCATTAAAATGTTTCTCAAACAGGTATTTACTAGCTGGAAAGTATGTATTGTCTGGCAGATGAAATTGGATTAAATTTAACAAGCTATTTAGTGCAGATCCACTTGTATTAAGCCTGATTATGTGGGAAAATATTAGTAGCAGGCTCTCTCTTCTTGTAATAGAACTGCCATTGTACAACTGATGATCCTAAGATACAAAATGCATCTTTTAATAGTAGGTTGAGGGCTAAATGGTGTGGCAACCATATTTTAATGTAAATTACTGACAACACAATATTTTATTTCAACTATCACAGTTTTTGGTTGGTAAGGTACTGTAATTATGAACAAAAAAAATGTTATTTTATAATATGAATGCAATATTAATTAGCATTGAAGAATCAACAATTTAAAAAAAAAAAACCACTTTTTTACATGTCTTAATTTTAATTCTATGCTTGCTGTGGTCAATTTTTACTAGTGGCATAACGTCAGGAATTAAAATCATATAACATTTCTTGGATAAAAAAAAACAGATAAAAGAACAACAGATGAGACATTAATTCCTATACTAACCAAAGAAAGTTTTAATATATAAAAACATCTTTCCTTTGGGGCCCTTAAACAAAATTGAAACAACTTTTACCACCTATAATAACATGAAATTAAAACAATAACAAAAATAATGCCTAAATTCACTAAAATGTAAAATATTTATATTATAATGAATAATTATCTTATATACATAGAATATCATTTAATTTAATTGTTTTCTATTGCTTTTACCAATTCATTAACATCTTGTTGAAGGTTTTCACAATCCTCAATATTGTCAATGTCTGCACTCTGAAAAATTGTTATAGAGGAAAATATAAATCTATTATGGAAATCTATATTTTTAAAACATGACTACATAAGCAAGTTTCTAGTTTTATTATGAAATCAGATAGGTTTGTATAATAGGTTTTTATGTTCATATGTCATTCTAACATGGAGGAAGACTTTCTATGGAAGGTCGATGTTTGAGATTTTAAGATAGTGTGTTCTCAATCGAGAAGGCTCTAACTTAACATTTTCTTCCATGATTTAAAGTTAGGCTAAAGTGGGGAGTTCACTGCAGGGTCATAATGTAACGTCTTACCCTTAAATGGATACAATTTGGTTGGGTAGGGTACTGTATATACGGTTGGATCTCTACAACCTCTGTGTAGTAATGTCCTAATAGTATCCTAACCTTTTACCAAATTATGCAAGATTAGGATATTACTAAAACCTTTGTGTAGAAATCTCCTAACCTTGTATAGTTTGATAAGGATTTGGCCACTTTCATAGCTCAGTAAAAATGTCCCTAGCCTAATTCCTTATAAAATTATGTGATTTATTTCTTTTTATATTTTTTACCAAAACAAGCCATATTGTTTACTGTGATGGAAGACTAAAATAGGAATATTGAATACTTAATATATTAAAATGTGTACATCCTTACCTGGAATTGCAAATATTGATTTTCCGAAGATTGTGCACTTGACTTTGTGGAGCCCTTGAAAAAATATTACAATAAAATAGTATAAAATATATTATTCATAATATATGAAATATATTTTAATATTCATAATATTTATTAATATTAGTCAAAATAATTTTTTATTTTTTATTCATATAAAATAGAAATATAATTTGAACAGCAAAATAAAAGCTGTGGGGTTTTAAAAAAAACCAGACAGAATGAAGATATGAGCCACTTTTTCATAGTTTTCACCATAATTTATCAGTAATCCAGAGGTAATGCAAATAAGATTCTGATGGAAAAGTCATTTGTTCTGGACTTTACACCCATGATAAATTTCCATAACATTTTTGTTTACTTCTGTATGTCAATATGAGACATTTCCATGGCAACTACAGAAGCTCTGTAGTCGCCATTTATAAAGTCTGTGAATCTGTTAATGTAGTTGTAAAAAATAAAAAGAACTTAATCTGATTCAGAATTAGTTCAGAAAAAACCCCTTAAAAATTGGACCAGATGCCTACCTCATTAAAATGATAATCGTTTACTTCACTTTCGCAATTCAGGGTATCACATAACACATTCTTTATTGGTTCATTTTCCAATTCTGAAATAATAAGTAATATAATCAGACAAATAGGCCTATACCATAAAAAGTGTTGTATTATTATTGTTCATAGTTTATATGTTAAGCGCCCAGGTTATTTTAGGTGCTATAAATAACTATTATTACTATTAAAGATCATTTCATGAACATACAATATACAGGTATACATTACAGTATTTTAATTCCAACATGGCAAATACAGTATGTCAAAAGTAGCATGTATTGGCCCTACATTGCATCTTTTTTCTAAAAATATATTTATTATTCTTATGCAATATAAAATAAACGAACTTATCTTACCACAGAAATGGTCTTCGTCAAAATGTTTTCTATCGTTGACATTCAGAATATTACGGGGAGGCCTACTACTACAAGAAGTAGTACTGCCACTTGCATTGGTGGTAGCCCTATGTAGGCCTAGGCTTATATCATCTGATGGAGGCTTGGTATCATCATTATGCATATAGCTTAAGGTGGTATTACTCTTACTACTAGCAGTACTAGAACTAGGCCAATGCTTAGTTAATATAGCATTCAAGGCATCAGACCTAGGCCTAGTACTACTACTAGGAGAATCACTGTCACTAATAATAGTAGCACCAGGCCTTGGCCGGGGAGGATGTTTACTGCGCCGACGCATATTGGTAGAAATAGGCCGAGGCATACTACTATAGTATTAGGCCTAGTTATAGTACTAGTACTACTAAGGACTAGGAGGCAGCCCATGAGTAGGCCTACCCGTAGTAGAGTAGGCCTAAGATTAGGCTTATGCCTTTTTGGCCTACTGCTACGAGGCCAATAATATTCATCTTCAGTTTCAGTCTTCTTCAACAGATAATTCAGCAGTTGTTGTAGGACTAGGCCTAGAAGATCTTACTACTTTTTTCTTGGCTTTAATGTCATCATATAACATACATTTCAAATGTTGTCTCTTCAAACAGGAAGACATTCTGGTTTATTCATAAATAACACCGCGCTATGCTTTTTGATAATAATGATTTCAACCCACACCACACCACATGCAATCTCCACCCTCTGATATTTTTTTTTTTTGCAAATGATATTTTTTAATATTAATAAGAATATACATTGTTTAACGAACTATCGACCGCCAAGAATGGTTGTTTCTAATATTTGAAAAAAAAATATAATTTTTAGAAAGTTTAGTGTAGGCTACCTATCAGCTAAAAAATGGAATTATTACTTAGGCCTAGGCGTAGACGAGGCTGTCATAGAAAGGAAAGGCCTATCATCATACCAGGCCTAGCAGGATTAATTTACAATTATATGTCATCACCAGGCCTACATTGTTTAATTCATTAATAAAATTTTATTTTATTTATAACCTAGAATTGTTTGAAAAATTATTTTTCTAAACAATCAATATTTTATTTGATTTCTCCGCTTTCCTCTTGACTGTCTTTATTAACAAAAAAAGGTTCGCGAATTAAAATCAAGGTAAAAAGTCTTGCCTAGCCTAGGTTCAAAGTTTAGTGGCAATTGCCGCCGGCCGGAGGACAACAAAAACTATGACGCTTAATACTTTCAACCAATCAGATAAGAGGACTAGCGTGATGATTGGCACACACAACCAGTTGAAACCGGATGATACCGCGGGCTTTCCTCCTCAGCAGATGATGAAGTACTTTAGTTTGAGGTGGACCTATTGTATGTTGTTGCATCGTCGTCACATTATATACAGCAAATTGGTACATGATGAGAACGTTATTTGTTCTTATTAAGTGGATCGAGGCGCCACCCACCTGGGACGTAATCCCTGTTACCAAATCTTGCAAACAAATAAAGTTTCTCGCAGCAACAACAACCTAAAAAGTGCTGTAAATAGTGTTTTCGATTTCCCGTGGGAAGAATTAGAAATGTCACCAGCCACTGCATTAGATTTTGGTAAGTTTTGGACTGCCCGATTTTCCGTATAGGCCTAGCCTACTAGGCCTGGGCCTAGTACTAAAAATATCGTAATTTTCTGACTTTTGGACAATAGAATCACAGGATCTAATTTTAACAGATGCATGTAACTCATCATACGTACCTTTCAACTAAAACTTTATAAAATCAAATTGAATCCTGCCTATAAAAATGTAATCATCCTTTTATCGATTTTACGCTAGTTTTTGACACCCCTCTATAGGCTAGTTTTTGAGTGTTAGTTTTCGACAGTCAGTGTTTATTTTCGTTTCTTGGAATTAAAAATTTATTCACATAACAATAAAATAGAAATGTTAGACAATAGTTAATTTTAAAGGCCTAGGACCTAGCCAGCTAGGCCTAATTGACTGTAAATTATCCTTTTAACTAAAATAAAAGTATACAAAATTTAGACCTAGACCTAGTCGCTAATGTTCGGCCTAGGCCTAAATGATTAAAACAACATAATTTTCGGACTTATGGACAATGACTTACAGGAATCTAATTTTAACAGATGCATAAATATATAGGCTAGGCCGAGGCTAACTCATACCTTCCAACTACAAATTCATAAAAAAATAAAAAGTTGTTTTGCGGACAGCTTTGTTTGAGGGTCAGTGCTTCACGCTGTTACATCGTAAAGGGATATAATTTTACCAGTGACATAGAAATGGATAATTAAAAAATCGTTATTAAATTTAGGGGTCGGGAAATGGGGGGGGGTCGAAAACCTAGGCCTAAGTGGTCGAAAATTAGCAACTTACTCTAGGCCTAGACCAGTTTGTGATCGCATGTTTTACAAAAAGTAGTGAAAAGTGGCTACTTCGCCATCTTGGTTTTAAGACGCCCTCTATATTTTCATACTAATTAACGATAGGGTGTCAAATAACCCCAAACTTTCTGGATCTGTGACCTATCACTCTTTTCTTATTTGCTACTGTAAGCCACGTGACAGCAGCCATGTTTCGATCTTAACGTTTTTAGAATTAAATTTTCTTTTGAATAAATGTAACTTGGGATAGATTTTTCCACTCTATCGAAAACACGTTCTCATAGTCATACATGTGTATGGTATTAAATGTAGGCTTCGTGTGGTTATGAGTTAGCTGTTTGGTAAATTTTGAAACACAAAACAAGAAGGTGGAACTGAATAAAAATGTCTAATTAAATGCAGGCTCGACTGTTTTAGTGTAGGTCTGCCTGGACATAAAAATTAGTTTGACTGGTTGGTTTCTAATATTAAACCAAAGTTCACCTTTTGTTTTATTCATAACTAGGCAAGGAACAGGCAATGGAGAAGAAAAGAACTGAAATTGTTCAAAATTACCAGGATTCCCTGCTAGCGGGAAGGGGTAAACGGTTGAGAAAGAATTACGCCCTGTCTCTTATACACATCTAGATGTGTATAAGAGACAGCAACTAGAGTTATTGCGATTAGATTTATGCTTGTAATACTGTTCGCTCAACCCAGAGAAAATGTTTTCTAAAGATAATGTTTAACCATGAGAAATATAATAAGATTATTAATTAAAAGGATATATTAGTAATGACACGAGAGACAGTAACGAGTACTGTATTGATGTCTTGATCATTAATATTATTATACTTATATGTAGAGGCATATCGTTGAGTATGAGTTTGAAAATTTATTACTAATTGTTTGAGTCAATTAGAGATATTATGTTATGCGATATGACATGAGTTTGACACTATTCTCTGTTTCTTTGCGTTACAGGGGTTTTCTTTTTGTTCAGTTCTCTTTTATACTACTTATATTGCTCCATGGTTCGTTCATTTCGTTGTGTTCCAAATAAACGTTCTAAACAACATATGCAGTCTATGGTCTACTCCTTGACGTATTTTTTCGACTCACGACAAATTTTGGCGGCAGTGGTGGGATGCAACTGGAACAGAACTGAATCTACGAGCAGACACGACGAAGTCAAGTTCTGGTGCTGCAATCCTTGAGCTGGTGCCGAGAGACGAATTTGACAGAAAAGGATACCAGACCCCTGGATGCTGATTTTAGATATATTTTGTTCATGCATTATCTTTCATTGATTTGATTGTATATTGATTTTTCCATTGCTTTATCTTACATTTGCATTGTGCATAGTTTCTTATCCCCACTGTGATATAGCATCAGAATGGCGCAGATAGACGATATGATACGGGCGCTGACGACAGCACATCAGGGCTTAAACACCCAACGGGGTCCGCCGCCTGTTAAGTTATCCAAGATTAAAGGAAGTGTACGTGAGACCGGGGAGCTGTCCCTGAAAGAGTGGATTGATGATTTTAACAGCTATGCTGCTCATTACAGTCTAACTGGGGAAGCCAAGGCCAATTCGCTTCTGGCCCATCTAGGTGGAGCGGTAAAAGACGAGATAATGTGTTATGGTGATGATGTAAAGAGAGACAGTGCAAGGATTATTGAGAAGCTTGAAGCGCTATTTGCACCAGTCAACACCGTTCAATCACTTAGCAGTAATTTTCATAGCCGGTCCCAACTAGATGGCGAGTCGTTGGGCGATTACAGCCGAGCGCTGATGCGAATATACCAAAGGATGACCAAGGCAGCGACGATGGATGTTGAGAGGGCAGCATTAGAAAGCCTGAAGGACAATGCCCTGAAGGAGAGGTTCACTAGAGGGGTGAGGAAACCATGGGTTCAACGTGAGCTACGTAGGATAGAGATGGCATACAAAGACAGATCTTTCCAAGAAATGAGAGAAGAAACCTTAGAATTCTTTAGGAATATTGAGAGTCAGAAGAAACGTGTACTAGTACATGAGGTGGTGAACGACACGCAGAGTGATGAGATGGAAGCGTTAAAGGCAGAATTGAGGGCAGTCAAAGCTCAATTGAATCGTCAGACAGATGGTGGTGCAAGTAGTGGTGGTATAACGCAATGTAGGCCCTTGACGTGTTATAAGTGCCTAGAGAAGGGACACCATAAGAAGGATTGTACCAAACAGTTTAAGTGCCTCCAATGCAAGCAGTATGGTCACTTTAAGAGAGACTGTCCACAATTGCAAAGTGCTGCTGCAGGCGTAGGGAGACCAAGCCCGAACAATGTTGAAGTTGGCAGTATCGCTAGCACAGAGGACCATGAGGATAAGTTGGTAGCCAGCAGTCCAACAGCAACTATAACCCTAGTCGGAGTTGAGCTTGGTTGTATTTTGGATACGGGGGCCATGACGTCACTGATCCCAGCCTCTGTCTACGAAGAGAAACTTAAGCCAAAACTTGGAAATTTAGCACCAGAAGTAACTTATCTCAGATAACTGGTGTCAACGGAGAGCCTGTGGACATGCAAGGTTACGTATGGTGAGAATAAGCTTAGTGCGAGTTTCTTGGTGTCTAAAGGCGGTTCGAGCAAGAGGAGTCAAGGCCATCCCATTCTACTTGGCTGCAACATACTAAAGAAGTTAGCGATGTTTGATGCCCCACAGAAAGACAACTTTGCACGGAAGTTCATAAGGATGATATTGCTAGAGGAGGCCGATGGCAAAGATCAAAGATCCGTCCAGAGTGAAGTGAAACAAACAGCCGAGCTGCGAATGGCCGAAAATGTTACCGTACCAGCATGCAGCATAAAGAAGAATAAACTGTCTGGTTGGGAATAGCCTCAAGGGTAATGTACTTGTAAGCTCGACACATGAGATTGAGCATGCCGAATTGTTAGAAGGATGCGGAGCAGTGGATGATGGAGCTGTCAGTGTAATGGTGGCCAATTCGAAAAACCAGCCTATCAACCTACACAAAGATGTCATAGTGGGAGAAGTGTCTGTTGTAGACAAGTAGCAGAAGGCTGAACTGGTTCAGGTTGTAGGTGGTTTGGAGGTTCGGGTAGATGAGGTGTTAGTTGCATCTGGGTGTGATGTCGTCCAATGAAATGAAACTGAACAGATGATTCAGGAATGCGGGGAAATAGCTCCTGGTTTGGACTTAAGTCACCTAAATGAGGAAGAACGGATTTTATGCAGTGCGTCGCAAGATATCCAAATGTGTTTTCAACTGGCTCGTATGACGTCGGTAAGTGCAATCTAATACCTCACTCCATTAGTCTAACGTTGGAGAAAACAATCCGTGAACCCTTTAGGAGGATACACCCGCATAAGGTACCTGAGGTGAAGGCGATGATTCAGGAGATGGTGGACCAACAAATAATCAGGCCATCTAAAAGTGCGTACGCAAGCCCTGTCGTAATAGTAACCAAGAAGGACGGATCCTTGCGACTATGCATAGATTACAGAAGGCTAAATGCGTCCTATATTTGGACGACATATTGATTTTTTTGTCATCCTTAGAACAGCACCTTGTTCGCCTTGAGAAAGTGTTGGGTAGACTTTCCCAGTTCAGCCTGAAGCTAAAAGGGAAGAAATGTAATTTGCTTAGACGAAAGGTAGAATACCTTGGACATGTAGTAAACGAACATGGAGTGCAAGTATCCGAGGAGAAGGTTAAAAGAATCAAAGAGTTGCCTACACCTACCTCCGGTAGAGAAGTAAGCTCGTTCTTGGGCGTCCTACTACAGATGGTTTATTAACGGGTTTTCGAAAATCGCAGCACCTCTTCATACACTTGTGGGTAAGACCCGAGTGAACACAAAGAACGCTAAATCTGAGAACTTCATTTGGCGAGACGAAGAGAACGACGCATTTGAGGATTTGAAGTCAAAATTATGTACGACCCCAGTGCTAGCATATCCAGACTTTAACCGAGAATTCGTACTGGAAGTGGACGCATCGTTTAAGGACTTGGTGCTTGTCTGATGCAAAAAGACTTGGAAGGAAGACCACACCCCATTGCGTATGCAAGCAGAGGCCTGAGAGGTTCAGAAAAGAACTACCACGACCTATCGAGCTTCAAGGTAGAGTTGCTCTTAAATTGGCGGTGACGGAGAAGTTTAGCTCCTATATTATGAACAACAAATGCATTGTGTACACAGACCACAACCTGTTAGTTCATTTAGAGACTGCAAGACTCGGAGCCACAGAACATCGTTGGGTTGCCCAGCTTGCCAATTACGACTTTAGTTTGAAGATGTCTTGGTCATAACTGATGCGTATTCTAAGTTTGCAGCTTCTGTTCCGTGCAAGGACCAATCGGCTAAAAGCATAGCGAGGGCTCTTTGAGATAATTGGTTTGTTTGCTATGGGGTACCGGATAGGATTCATTCCGACCAGGGCAAAAATTTTGAAAGCCATGTGATTAAGGAGCTATGCAAGGTATACAATATAACGAAATCCACAACCTCAGGCTACCACCCAGCCGGTAATGGTCAGACCGCAAGGTTTAATATGACACTGTGCAGTTTGCTGAGGGCTATCAAGCCTGCAGAGAGAAAACGATGACCTGAGATGCTTGGACATGTGGTGTTCATGTACAACACTACACCCCATTCTGTAACTGGTGTCACACCCTACTTACTAATGATGGGAAGGGAACCCAAATTGCCAATAGATCACTACTTGGATAACACAGCTTCTAACTGGGATGAGGACTATATACAGCAGCAATCTGAAATGATGGAAAGGGCAGCGGAAGTCGTAAGTGCTAGGTTAAGGGCAGCAGCTGAAAGGGAAGAGAAACGTCACTTGCTGACTAACTGCGAGCAGTTTGCGATTGGTGATAGGATTTTGCTTCGTCATAAATGTTTTGATGGCAGACACAAACTTGTCGACAACTTGAAACATCCTATATTGTTACCGGCGTAAACACTGAAGGCGACGGATACCAAATTAGGCCAAGTGGTGGAGGGTTAACTAAATGGGTTAACAGAAGGAGAATAATTAGAGATCCCCGAGATGCAGAACAAGAACAGGAAGAGGAGTGCTTAATTACAGATATGCAAAGTGTAGACGATACATCAATAAATCATTGGCTACAGTTCAGAAACCTGGGAGTACCCCGACCTCTACGAAGATCATCCAGGCAAGGTAGAGGACATAATAATATTAACTATCTCCCAAGATCTGTTCAACATTAGTTTGTTATTGTTCATGTTATATTTGCTTTCCGGGACGTAAAGCGGGGAAGAAGTCAGAGACTGGAACCATCGTAACTTGTATGGGGTCTATTTTATTTCGAGTAGGGATATTTATTTACTATATATGTCGTGTCCGTCTGGACATTCAGCGGAGCGATTGTTTATTTAGCATCCTTGTGATACGACTAGCGCGTCCTTTTCGAACAAGCCAAGCAAGTTGAGAACCTGCCACGAGAGAGATTGACCCTTTACGATGTTTTAATTGATTGTACGATCTTTCATTTACTTGCTAATAAATATTATGAACATTTATTATTATTATTTTACTTATGATTATCGATTTTATGATGTATTTTGATAGCGATTGTCACGATTTTATGATCACCTTGTGGAGCTGTAATATTTGAGTTTTAGCTTATATAGATGTTCGAATGACTTTGTTATGATACTTTTATTGCTTATTTAACCGTGAATATTATTTGAATGTCATTACCTATGAATTTATTCAATTGATTGCTATGCTATGCTTTATGATAGTACGAATGATTGTGCTATGATTACATGACATTGTATTAGTAATGGTTAAATATTCGTTTTACTAGATTATTTTGGTGAGAACCGCCGATTGTTTCTTGTCCGAGATTTCTTGTTTGTAGCCTCTGAACGAGTGCAATGCAGGTGCGGTCATGATTTAATTATTAATTTTGTTTAGATTGTTTGAGTGATTCTGATTATTTTATTAGAGTAATAGGGATACTCTTTACATTACGATTGATGAACTTAAGTATGATGTACTAGAGTTATTGCAATTGCATTTATGCTTGTAATACTGTTCGCTCAACCCAGAGAAAATATTTTCTAAAGATAATGTTTAACCATGAGAAATATAATAAGATTATTAATTAAAAGGATATATTAGTAATGACACGAGAGACAGTAACGAGTACTGTATTGATGTCTTGATCATTAATATTATACTTACATGTAGAGGGATATCATTGAGTATGAGTTTGTCAATTAAAGATATTATGTTATGCGATATGACATGAGTTTGACACTATTCTCTGTTTCTTTGTGTTACAGGGGTTTTTCCTTTTGTTCAATTCTCTTTTATACTATTTATATTGCTCCATGGTTCGTTCATTTCGTTGTGTTCCAAATAAACGTTCTAAACAACGTATGCAGTCTATGGTCTACTCCTCGACGTATTTGTTTGACTCACGACAATATTTTAACTGTTATGTTTTTTTTTACTATTATGTATACTATTATATATACATTTGTATGTATGAACGTATATTATTTTTTCAAAAAAAATGATGTGCAAGCCAAAAAACAGAAAACATCTCTCATCCACAGAGATCAGCTGATCCTTAATGAGGTAGAAAAACAAACATGTGAAAACTGTGAAAAGCTAAATGAAAAGTATATGGCTACAAAAGAAAAGTACAGTTCACTCAAAAAAGAATTGAATAGTTACAAAAGTCTTGTTGGTAAGCTTGTTTTATGTTTATCCCTTTATACATACATCATAAACATTAAATTGCACACATTTCTTGCATTTTCTAGGTTCTATATATACATTGTCTACCATATTTCAGTATTTTTGTCTATTTAAATTTGAAGGTACATCCTGGTCTCGTCTGTTCATAGACTTCTACAAATGCTTACATTTGGTCAAAGCAAGAAAGATATATCTCAAGATTGTGTTGAAAATATGTGAAAGATGTTTTTATTAGGCCAAATAAAATAAATTTTTTGTTTGCCCTTCTTTTTAAAAAAAAAAAGAAGATAAATAGGGCGGGTGGAAAAAGTTAATCATCAGGTGGAATAAAAATAACCCACAAAGGTCTAGAATGGCAATATCATACATCATACAACTTTAGACTAATTTTTAGGGCATCTGGCAAAAAATAATGATAAATTCACACACATTTGTTTTTATTTTTAAAGAAAAAAGCTAAAAAAAAAATGTTTTTTTGTTTTTCCGCCCCTATTTTTTTCAGTGAGTTAGGGGCAGGTGGCAGAGGGCAAACAACCAATATTTTGTTTGTCTTATTCTGATTGTAACATCTGGAAAAAAATAAAGATAAATTCACTCACATTTTTTTTTATTTTTAAAGAAAAAAGCTAAAAAAAAAAAACTTTTTTTGTTTTTCCGCCCCTATTTTTTTCAGTGAGTTAGAGGGCAAACAACCAATAATTTTTTTTGTCTATTCTGATTGTAACATGTATTTTGTTAACACATTTAGATGTTGGACAGATGATTGCAGATTAAAAAAATATCCAGCAAAGAGGTCAGTGACATCCACAAGAAAACCTGTTTGGAGAAGGTTAGATGATACTATAAGCCAATTGTGTGTAGGAAAATTGTCTATCCTAAATGCGAAAGTTTCAAAAATAGCGTAATACGGTATGCCAAAAAAATGTATTACACATGTAATGTAATGTATTTTGATTTATATAGCAATCTATACCGGAGTCTCATATGGTACATACCAGTACAGTATGTAAAACAGAATAGTTTGGTAATAACACACCACTGAGGGGATTGTTTGTCAAACAAGTTAAAATTTCAATGCTGTTTGTGTTTTGTTTTGGTTTTGTAAATACTATCAAATCTGCATCTCTACCAATATCCAGTTTCTCACAGCATTGTATGCATACATGCACATCAATAACTACTGTACATACATACTGGCCAAAAACAATATTAGCCATTTGGCAAATTTGGTATGGAAGTATTTAACCAAACAAAGATTTTAATTAGCTGGAAAAAACAGAATACAGACTATGATAACTTTAATTCCATTAACTTTTGGCTAATTTTGAATGAAAATATTTAGCATATTACAGGAATTGGCAATGTTAGTCTTAAACACTGACACACAATGCTTGGTACAATATATGATATATGCATACTGATAATGAACAACTTATAGAACTGTTTATTATTTTTGATACTTTAGGAACTGATGCCAAAATCTACAGAAGACTTAATGATGTCCCCTGAACGAGTGAAAGAGGCTAAGAAGGTAATTCTAATTTTTTGAGGACTAGACCATTGCATACTTTTCTTTGTATTGTGTAAAAAGAGAATTAGGCAAATCAGTTTCGTATAGTTTCCATACTAACAAATTGCATAATACTGTTCTTAACACACTTTTTGGCCGACAATCTGAAAAACATTCAAGCAGTTTAATGCTACCTAGCTTTTGGAACGCTGAAAGCCAAATACAGTTATTCAAAATGAGTCATTTAAACAAAATTTTAAAATTATACTTAGATGACTAATAATTCAAATGTAAACAGGATATAAAATTAAATTTAAAATGTAACAAATCCTAATAAGTTTGAGAACCACAGGTTAAAAATAATATTGGCCTGTCTTATTATTGCCTATTTAACATCTATTGTTCCATTTTTTGTTAAGTTTAAAACTTGCTAATTTTTTGTTTGATCAAATACTCTTTAAGAAAATATAAACATTTTTTATTTATCCTAAACTGTTGTAGTTTACTGCTTTTACAGATTGACATGAGGAGAGGAGTGCTTGTTGTATGACCATTTTGAAACAGTAATCTAATTTTTTCTCCTCAGAACTGACGTGCCGCAAATGCCCAAGTATCAGTCCGGCAGCAATTAAAAGTTTGTTATCCAATAAGTTAAAAGAAATAATGAAAGCAAGCAGAAAGAGGGACACTGATATTGTTCTGCTTTAAATACAAAGGATGTATATATGTGTTTTTATGCTATAGACACGAGTAAAGAACATAATATGAGATGAGATATGTGTTAATACAGTATACAAAGGATGTGTTTTAATAAAAGTCAAAGTTGAATTAGTTGTACTGGGCTCTTAATTTGGAATGTGCGAAATTTTACAGAAAATGTATAAAGCAACATTTAAGTTTTTTTTAGAAATTTTATTGACCACAATTGTACAGTAATGTGTAAATTTCAAATACAAATTGTATAGAATCTATATTTTAATTCATAAACATTGTATTGACTTTCTGAAATTTTTTTTTAGAATGAGAAATTTGTTGTGCGACTTTTCTGTAAAATGTTTATAAAATTTCTATACTTTTTTTTTTTTTGCGATAAATCTATAGAAATTCTGTAGAATAAATCTGTATTCACGCTATTTTTCTATCTTTATTCTATAAACTTTCTAAAAAGTTGCTTTAGATCGTAAATTTTCTGTACATCTTTTCGATAAAACTTTTATAAACTTTCTATACGAATTCTATAGAAGCCATTTTTTTATTAGCGATAAGTCTATATAAATTTCATAGAAGAAATTTCTCTATTCTATAGAATCCATTTTATTTTCCCATATTTATGTTATTAACTTTCTAAAGGGTTCCTTTAGAATGGGAATTTTCCGTACATATTTTTTATAGAATGTTCTATATATTTCTATAGCATTCTTATCAAATTCTATTGAAATTTATTAAAATCACCGATAATCATATAGAAGTTTTAATAGAAATTTATCAAAATTTTGTAGACATTTTATAGAAACTTGTGTCTTTTTCTATGAAAATTCTATCAACATTCTAGAGATTTTTTTCATAATGGTAATTTTCTATAAGTTTTTCTATATAATTCGTCTAATTTTCTATAGACTTGTATGTGAATTCTATAGAAGTCGATATAATTATTGAAAATTCTATATAAAAAAAGTTCTATAGAAAATAAAAAATTTTCTAAAGAAACTATAAAATTTTGTTTTTCTATACAAATACTCTAATAAATTCTATTTATTTTTCTTATAAATTTTTTTTCCTACAAAATTTCTTTAGAGTTTCTATGAACACTCTATAGAATTCTATCGGAATTCTTCAGGATTTCTATTTAAATTACATGAAAACATCTTTATCGACCTTGTAGAAAATCTATCAAAACTCTATAAAGCTGGTTTAGAAAATCATATAGAATTAGCCTATAGAAAAGTTTTAGAAATTTAATAGAATGATTTCTTTAGAAATTCTATACATTATTTTCCTACGGGCAGCGGTGTATTATTCTAATAATGCTTGACCTCAGTGCCGCCTTTGATACAGTGGATCACCTCATCTTGCTTTAACATCTCGAAAGGAATTTTGGAGTGACAGGATTAGCACTGAATCTTCTTAAATCATACTTGACAAAGCGTACCCAGCGGATTATTGTTGGTGAAAGTGTATCTAACAAGTTTGATTTCACATGCGGCGTCCCACAAGGCTCCTGCTTGGGGCCACTCCTATTCACCATGTACATAGCACCTCTTTTCAAAATAATTAAAAATCATCTCCCAAGTGCACACTGTTACTCTGATGACACAAAATTATATGTGTCCTTTGATCCAGGTTCTCCAGATAGCAAACGTGTAACTATCTCCGGTATCATAGCCTGCATGGGTGATATTAGGAAGTGGATGTATGAAAATAAGCTTCTACATAATGCTAACAAGACTGAGCTTATGATCATTGGCACCAGGCAGCAATTATCAAAAATTGGAGAACTAAGCATTAACATGGGAAGTGTTGAGCTTAAACGAGTCAAATATGTTAAAGATCTTAGTGTTTTTCTTAGACGAACACATGTCCATTAAAATAAATATCAATCAAATCTGTTCAAAGAGTTTTTATCACCTTCACAATATATGTTGAATCAGTAGATTTTTTAACAACACTGCTCTTACAAGTTTCGTTCACGCCTTCATTACAAGTAGACTAGACTATTGCAATAGTTTATTATACGGATTGCCTGACTGCCATTTAAAAAAACATTTTTGCGAGTTCAAAATGCTGCTGCCCGCTTGCTTACTAAAACACCAAAAAGATCACACATCACCCCTGTACTATTTGAGCTACACTGGCTGCCAATTGAATACCGCATTAATTTCAATTAGTAGTAACTAATTACCAGGAAATATATTCACGAAATGGGCCCAGAATACCTTACCAATATTGTAGTCAAGCCATCAACTGGTTTCTCCTTAGTATTCCAAAATGGTAGAATGTTGAATGTTGAAAACACTTGGTGAAAGAAATTTCAATTGAGCTGCTCCGACACTTTAGAACAATCTTCCGGCTGAACTAAGGAGCACAACTTCTATTATCGTGTTTAAGAATAAACTTAAAACTTATTTATTCCGCAAAGCTTTTCATCGTCTTATTACTGTAGTGAATTCTCTTTAACCATTAACGATTTATTGCCAACATAATTATATTGGTGACATTTGCAGTAGTAAATTGACCTGTGAAACTTGTAAATAATTGTAATTTTATATTTATTTTTTTGAATTGAATTTTTGTACATTTTGAGATATTTTTATTGGTATTTGAATAATAATTGTTATTGAATTTAAATATTTATTTCAATGATTTTGATATTGTAATTATATTTTAATTACCTTTCCTTTTAATTGATTGTCTTCAATATTGTTGATATTGAATTTAACACTTTTAATTGATCTGTATTGTATTGTAATAATTTAGAATTGTATATTATAGTTTGTTAGGTAATTAATAATATTTATTTTTGATTGAATTTTCCAATTTTATTATTTTAAAAATGTAAGTATATTTTTGTAGTTTTTCTATATAATATTTTTGTAATTTGATTGTATAATGCTGCCTGTTTTAAATTGTATTTTATTAATTTTTATGTAAAGCGCTTTGATCAGAACCCTGTAAATGCGCTATATAAATTATATTATTATTATTATTATTATTATTACTATTATTATTATCATGGGCTATCTGAAACAAACTCAAGATAAACGATGAAAAAACTGAGGGTTTGCATGTAACATCTCGTTATAAGAGGCAGCAATGTACACCTTGTACTATTACAATTGGACTCGCCGTTAACATTTCTGCTCAGGGAGCCAGAAATCTTGGTGTCTTTATTGATCAGCATCTGACCGTGTTCACTCATGTGAATAACGTTTGTCGGCCGGCAGTTCACTCGATCAGAACTATTGGCCGTATTGTAAGTTTTTAGATAAGGATACAACAGAGCGTCTTGTCCATGCGTTCATATCATCTAAAAATGTTTGCCGCAACAGTCTCTTTTTCAGACTTCCTGGCACACGTTTAAGTAAACACCAACGTATGCAGAACACTGCCGCACGATTCATTGTTGGTCACCGAAAGTCTGCTCATATTACACCAATTCTAAATGAGCTCCATTGGCTTTCCATCAAGAAGCGGATTCTTTTCAAAATTCTTCTGATGGTGTATAAATCACTTTCCAGTACTGCCCCATCTTATATATATATATGAGATGTTAAAACCTTATATACCGTCACGCACCTTAAGATCAAGCTCTAGTGGATTGCTTCAAATCTCGCAAGCTGCTCGTGCTACTAAATCTACGTATGGTGACAGAGCATTTTCCATTGCCGCAACCAAGGAATGGAACAAGCTTCCCAATTTTTGAGGAAGGCGATGTCAGTTGAATGTTTTATATCTGCTTTAAAAACTTACCTTTTTAAATTGTAAATTCAGATATCTTGCAGATGATAATTATATTTTTGTAATAATCAATGATTAATACCCGCAGTAAGTGTTTACTTCATGTTCCTTACAGTCGTGTTGATTGCACAAAATGGTTTTCAATGTTTACCGAACGAATTTAATAGACTACTTGATACTTGTTTTAATATTGATATTTTTTATGATAGTCTTAATATTTTTAAAAGCAAAATAGTTAAATTTGTGTAAGTGTATTTTAGTTTATTTCAGTTTTGAAGTTTATAATATATATTTATATATGTTTTAGTTGAACCTGTTAGTGGCGGTTTTCATCGCTGTTGGTTTTATACTGAATAAAATAAAATAAAAAATAAAAAATAATTAATTATTGGATTATAATACAATTGATAGATCTTTTTTATGCTAAATTTTGAATTACTGTAATTTTTTATATTGTTAATATTTTTATTTTTTATATTGTCCGATTGCCTCTCCCTCTTACTATATTTTTGTAATAATATATTTTTGTAATAATCTAACTAATGTAAATTAATTGAATTATTGTTATGAACTGAAATTATTCCATTTGACTTTTTTGGTGTTTTTTTTGTTTGTTTTCAATGATTAATATCGTAAATATTTTTTTGTATTGTACAATGTTGTGGTTTAAGTTTGATGATTGTATGCGCTCTGGGGTCCTTGCAACAATATGTCCTGTCTTTAGGCAGCAGTCACATGCCCTCTTTTCCTTTAGCATGCTTACTCTATCTTCAATTTTGAGTGACATGTAAGACTTGCACTCCTCTGTGTTGTGTCTGGCACCCTCATGTATTAAACAGAGTTGTGTTGTTGTGTTGTGGTACATCCGCCGCCAGGACTACCCCGGCGGATTAGGTGTTTGTTGACGGCTCATAGATTACATAGTATACTCAACTCTCTTTCTTTTCGTCTTCAAAAACTCAATCAACATCACTATTATATCTTCCTTCTCTGCCTTTTTATCTTCAGTCTTTATTCTATCTCTCACCCATCTCTGGAACACCGTATCAGGTAGCTTTCTCTCATCTCACCAAGAACCTTCATATTTGACATTTCACTTTCTTGCATGATTTTCACTAAGGCTCTCTGTAACTGCTTTCTACTACGTCAATGAACTATTAATTTCTTTCCCTCACCTTCTCTTACTTCATTCTTGTTTTCTACTTCATTGATTATTGCTTCTACTAATTTTATTTCACACCCGTTTCAACTGTCTAGCCTCAACCACATCTTCTCGTATTCGTCCTCCACCGGTCCTATAATTTTCAAGGGGTCCCTACTTAATGTTTGCCTTAGGGCAAATGCTAACTGATCCGGATGTGTGGA